AGCGACACTACTTTGTGCCGGGTAGGAGACAGGATCGAGGTGCCGGGAGGCGACGAGCTCAGCAAAACAGAACACACTATATTTACATTAATTACAACATCCTTTCAGTGTTCGTACCACAACAACTTCACGGGTGTCTTTTCTTTATATATCCGCCTCCCATCTCGCCGTCCACTGGCTTGTCCAATCGCAGGGGCCTACGTGGTCCTCGGTAGCCAATGTGGAAGAAGTTTGTGTGCCAGCGGCCAGCCAATGCGGAAGAAGTGCGTGTGCCAACAGCCAGCCAATGCTGAAGAAGTTTGTGGCGGGTCTCTCGGCATGGTGGCTCGCTCGCTGAAGAGTCATCCACACGCACACACACAGACACGGACACCCAGCTTGTACAAAGGTTGTCTCGAGAGCCGACTTCTCCGAAGCTCCCGCACGAGCCGCCGGTCGGTGCGAGAGCGTGCTTTGGTCGACGGGAGCCAGGGGCACGCGCCGCTTTCGTAAACGTGGTACGGGTGTGTCGTAGCCTTTCACAATAAGTGGTGCTTTCTAAGCATTTGTGTTTTTGAGCATCGCCCGCATTTCTTATTAAGACCATTTCATGCCTGTGCACAAGTTGAAGGTATTACTGGCACGTACCGTATAAAGGATGCGAATTTTCACGCGTTTTCATCGCCGGAGAAAAGTGATTAGGGTTAGCAATCCTGAACGCTCGCAACGTCCGTCCGCAATCCGCGACGCCGTTGAAAGGCTGCGCCAGGCAAAAGTCACTCATTTCTTTCAAAATGTGTGACACACTTGAGGGAGAAGTGTACTAGTCTGGTGAAATAAAGACTTTCCTCGAACTAAGCTTTATTTTTCATCTAACATAAAATAAATTCTTTTACAAAGGTAAGTTGTCTGATGGCATGCATTTTGGCCTGAAAAATTGATGTTTTGGTTATAGCGCGGTACCGCTTATAGTGCGGATTTTTGCGACTTTTGCGACATACGTTATATGCGGTCTACACTGTACAGTAAACTTGCATTAATTTGACCCTAGAGAGACTTTAAAATTAGAATCAAATTAACCAAAAGATCAAATTTAAAAAAAAAAGCGAAGAACGGCCAAAGTTGAACTTGCTTTTACTAAAAGTAGTTAGCGATGTTGTTCTGCCGTTTACACCTGAAATGCACACGAACAGTGTGCTTCGGAAGGTGCCAATATATTTCAATGCACATTCATTTGCACTCGGCTGCTCGGTTAAGATGCTCTCAACAGCCTCTTCCTCGCTTAGATCTCCTGCATCCATTCCACGGCCGGTCAGGTTGACTAAAATGTCATTGTTCGTAAGCGGTTCGCAGACTTCAACGCTGCTGTCCAGATTCACGAAGTCTTGAAACAAGATGCCAACCGGGGCAAGGAGCAAACTAGAGTCTTCAGTGAAAGACAGCACATGCATCGGCGAAACTCGTGTCCACAATGCGTTGGCATTTTCGGCCCTCTCCTTTCTTGATAAATAACCCTTGCCAACATCCTGAATAATGGCTGTCTTTGTATCGATGGACAGCAAGGTTTACTTCCTCCGTGATGTCATACACAGTCGATGCCGTGAAACACTTTAGCTTGACGATATAGAAGAGCTGCAGCCCGTGACGGGTCCAGTGAAAAACACAAGGACTACGCTCCACGCTCTCTCGTGTGGCCTTTGCACTTTCTGTTCAACATCCAAAAACATGCCTCAAAGATCCGGCGGCGCTTTCAATAAAACCACTACATAATCGAGCTAAGCAAACACAATAATGCATACTCCTGCCAATTTCACTCCATGCCATGGGCAACGAAGGGAGAGAGCAGGCTCCGTTGCGATTGTGCAGCTGCGTAAACAAAGCGAAAACGGTCCTTTACACAAGGACAAAAGAAATCTTAACCCAAACTAAAACAAAACAAAAAAAATTGTTGCAGCTTTGTTTATTTGACTAAATGCAATGAAATGCGGCAGCTTTACAGGAACATCATGAGTGAAAATGATGAGGAAAGGAAATGATATGTCTAGGACGGCGACGAGAACAACGTCAAGAACGACGTCTGGGACGACCTCAAAGACGACGTCTAGGATGGTATCAAGGACGACATCATAGAGGACGACTTCAAAGACGGCTTCGAGGACAACATCCTAGAGGACAATGTCAAGAATGACGTCCAGGACGACCTCTAGAACAACCTCTAGAATGACCTCAAGGACAACGTCCAGGACGACCTCGAGGACGACGTCAAAGACAACGTCTAGGACGGCCCCTATGACGATATCAAGGATCACCTCTAGGACGAGGTCAAGGACGTCAGGTCACTTCAGCTTCAACTACCGGCGCTTACAAGCTTATGCGACTGGCGCTTACATGACCAACACTAACAGCTTACGCGACCAGCGCTTCACCCAAAGGTGCTTGAGCTATGGGTGCTTCAGCCACTGGCGCTTCAGCCATATACACATCAGCCACCATCGCTTCAGCCATGAGCAATTCAGCCACGAGCACTTCAGCCACGGGTGTTTCGTGACTTTGATTACCGTAAAATCCCGTGAGGGCGCCCTCCTTTGAGAGATCGCCCATCCCATTTTTCTGGCTACGTATCTGTAACATAAAAATTCCGAAACATCGCCCACCCCTCGATTCCCGTTGGACGTCAGGCGATGTCCGACGGGAATCGCGCCGCGTCAGGAATCGCCTGCGACGGGAATCGCAGGCGGTATCGGTATGTCCGAGAAGAGAGTTCATAGCGGGTTCTTGCGTTTTCGTCTGCGATCTGCGCGCGATATCGGCTCGCGTAACGCGCTAGTTGTTCCCGCATGTATATTGCATTGTGAAATGCAAATCTGCTGTGTTCACGATTTGCGGTATTCGTTCCCGAGTTCGTAGCGGATTCCCGTGTGTTTGTCTGCGATCTGCGCACGCGATGTCGATTTCTAGCTGTAACACGCATGAGTTGTTTCCGCGTGTATAGTGCATCGTGAAATGCGATTTTGTTGCGTCCGCGGTCTGCAGTATTTGTTTCTGTGACGTGCGAGTTTGTAGCGTATTCCCGTGTTTTTGTCCGCGATCTGCGCATGCGATATCGGTTTCGTGACAGGCAAGATTGTAGCGGGTTCCCGCGTCTTTATTACACCATAAAACTTGAATCTGCTGCGTCCGCGATCTGCGGTATCCGTTCCCGTGAGATGCGAGTTCTCGGCGGAAAGAAAGAACACAGGAAAGAAAGGCTGCTCTGTCCTGTCTTCTCTTTCTTTCCTGTGTTCGTCCCCTGTCGCGCTAATTGTGTGTACTACGTTAGGCAAACTTTGTCCTCCTGACTACCAATGTCTTTAATGCAAAGTATAAAAATCTAGATAAATTGAGCTTCTTGCAGGTCTAGTGAACATTAAAATTTGGCATTAGATTACAAAAAAATACCACATCGGAATAAAATTTTAAAAAATCAAAATTATTCTAATTAAGTTTTGAAATATTTGGTCGTTTTTGACAAGGCACTAAACAATTTTTTTTTTGTCAGTGTCAAAAAATGTTGTGCACACTTTTGTCACAAGGCTATATGCTCACTATGATTGCTGGTTTCCTTCTCTCTACTTGCCTGCTTTGTGGGAGCAGCGTGTCCTGCTAACGTAACCCAGCTGCAACAGATTAAGACGCAAGTATTATCGTACCCTTTCACCAATAACAGTCGCGAAGAATTTCGTGCTTATCCTGCTTTTCTTAATGAGCAACAGACTACAGCTGGTGTAGCGAGGATAACTTGGAAGGACAGGGGCACCAACATGTAACAAACAAGTAGAAAAAACAAACGGCACTTGGTCTGCTTGTTTCTTCCATTTCTTTGCGCTGCGATCATTTCCAGTGAAACTGTCGAGTGGGGCTAGTGCCGCAAGGCCGACCAGAGACGGCGCCCGTCGTAGCAGGCACGGGAGGCAAGCTGCACTTGACTCGGTTTTAGCATAACCCAGCACGCACCAGAAGCTACGGGCGCCGAACGAGACACACAACGACACGCCAGAGGAGGCGATGTTAGGAGGGTGCTTCCGCCTGCCTCCCTTCGACGCTCAGATTGGTTCGTGTGAGGCCACACTCCGTGGCTTTAGGCGCTTGCCAAGTTAATGCGGGTGCCACGTGCACCTTGAGCTTGCCGTTATCTCAGCTGTGGTCGGACCTCCCCGGTCACCAAAGGCTCAAGAAACGCGGGGTGTGGCCAGTCCTCCATCTATATTATCGTCGCTCCATGGCCAATGAGACTGCGACATCGGACAGCTGATGAACGAATCACGAAGCAAGCAGTGTGATCACAATAGGCCGCACCCCGTGTTTCTTGCACAGTCAGGGACTATAATTGGCAGAGTATATGTTTTTTGCAGTCCCTGGCACTGGCTGTGGCTGGCAGTGTTTGTTCGTGGAAAGAGTTTCTTTCTTTTCTCAACCACCCTATTTTTAGAAATTTCTGAAAGTCTTCATTAAACCCCCCATAACAGATGCATGGTGCCTGCGTCACTGGTTGCAAATCGAGCCCCAGATGCAAAAGTGCATAGGGTTGGCTCAGAAATTATATGCATGTAATATAAACCTTGCATCAAATTATCCACACACTAGAGAAAATGCTTTGATTGGAGGTACTACATGGACTACACATGCTCGCCTTATCAGCATAAAAGATTCAAATTAAATAACTAAAATAAGGCGTTCACGATTACACACGGAAGGTGTCATTTGTTTTCGATTTTTGCTTTAAAAAAGCTACTGTTGCAGGCGCCAGCACGTGCAACGCATAAAACTACACTCGCAGAATGCTCCTTGGTGGTTCGGTAATTTAATAAGGTAGTATATTGGAAATTCATAGCATGGTCCCAGGGAAGATGGTGTCAGAAATGTGGTAATGCACCCGTTCACCGGAAAGGTGCAGCTCGTATTGCGAATCAACGCATTCGGGGCAAAGGGCCTCGCCCTTGCCGGGCTGACCGCAACGTGGGGGTCAAACGGGAAGCACTCACTCAGGGGCGAGAGCAGGGACGAGCCGGTCTCGGCGCAGAAGCCCATGAAGGCGTGGTAGACGTCCACCACTTCCGGCAACGAACGCTCACGCACCAGCTCCCGAAGGAACCTGCGGAGGCACGACCCTTTCAACAATGGGAATGAACACAACCCGCTTCGTTTTCCCTGTTTGTTTCAGCTTGTCCCCAAAGAGGTTCCACCATGGGGTCGAGCACAACTCAGAAATGAGTAGGTAAAACAAAAGCCTATAGTCCGTTGCAACTCAAGAAGGTAGGGCGAGGGAAAGGAAGGCCGGAGAGGAGGAAGCTTAAACGCTAAAGAGAGGAGAAGGCCTCTCCCTCTCCTCTCCAGCGTTCTGTCTGCTCCCACCTCCCCAACCTTCCTTTCCCTCGCCCTACCTCCTTGAGTCGCAACAGATTATAGTGCAAAATACCAAGCATGCACCAGTGTCACAATAAGTGCGCCCACCACCTACTTTCGAAACATTTCAGATGTAGGCAAAAAACATGTCGCCGTGTGCACACGTGGGAACCGCACGCAATCTATGTCATTCCATGACATTCCGGTACCCCACACATCTACCAAAGTGTCACAGATGAAAACGTAGGCTCGTGTAGAAGCTAAAAATTAACATTTAATAAGGTAAACGTGCGCCTACAAATTAAAACAGACAATAATGAGCATCCTGTGTCGGCAACGGTGGGCGATTGTTTCAATGTTGCCAGTCTCAGTTTCTTTTATACAGACCACGTAGTCTAGAACACTCTGAACAGGAAGAAACTATATGTTACAAGATGCTACTAGAAAATTCTAAAAGAGCTGCACGAAGGATTAGGCTGGCGGGATTCAAACCCCGTGCCTTCGTGTGAAAACTACGCACAATGCCAACTTGGCCGGGCACACGTGCTCCTCCGCATCAGCTGCCCCTCCAAGAAGTTGGTGCAAAGCAGTGAAGCCTCATGCATGTATGTCGGTGTGAAGAGGCAAAGCTTGACGAGACAGTGCCAGCGACAAGCAGGTTTGACAAGACTAACGAGGCTGCTTTAAAAATTAACACAGTTCCGTCAGACCAAACAAGGGCCCACCCTCCCGTGTGCACCTTCTGCTTTCAGGCTTATCACGTATTCATTCCCAGTTTCTTGTGGCTATCTCCAAGTTTTGGGTGAGCACTTGCTCGGTGATTTACAGCATGTTTTATGTCACGTTAAAAGGTTGCACTTTACCGGTTAAATGAAGCCCAGAAGCTGTGGCCTGTTTGTATGTGCCTGCTTATGTGCCTATTTGTATGTGCCATAGGGACCATTTGTACAGGCTTCATACAAACCTGCTAGTAGATACCAGACGAAAAAAACTAAAGGCAGTGACTATTTCGGCGACCACTGTCAAATGATTAAAATGTCATTTTGACGTCTGTGACATCACTTCAGTAAAACGTCAAAATGGTGGCTTTATTCGTTCGACGTCCCCCGTCAACGCAGTTGTTACAGTGGTAGCTGTTTCGTGGTTTCGTTTTATTTCTGATGGTGTTGTTGTCATTGTCTTGACGTGTTGACGGAGTCATGTGTCACTGTGTCGCATGCCTTAGAGGTTTCTGTCCTACTCGGCAATGGAAATGTATTTTTCAGCGTGTGTGTGCTCGACAGTTGATCCTTTTGGACGCGACACGCCCGGCGGCGAAGTTCTCAGTTCTCGCACGTCATTCCAGCACATGTCTCACTTAAAATTTGAAGCCAAAACAGAGCTGAGCTGGATATCCCTCTATCTTGCCTGCACATAACAAGTATAAGTGTGTATAGTATGTAACACTGAGAATTTGGAATGATTTTTGTGCCTCCATCCTTCCACTTTCGCGGGAGCGCGTCTTCGAACAACTGTTCTTCGCCAGGCGCTCAATATGATTGTTTATCCTTGGCCACCACACTGATACATTTGCCTGTGCTTTGCATTTTCCTATGCCCATGTAACCTTCATGAAGTTGTTGCAAGATATGTGGACGGCAGGATACTGGTACCACTATTCTAGAACCATTCATGAGAAGGCTGTTTTGCACAGCAATGTGATGACAGTACTCGTAGTACTCCTTGAATTCTTTTCCGAGATCTCGACAACTTTAGCTGGCAAGTCTTTGGCAAACATGGTCTTTTTTCTGTTCTGCCGTTAGCCGTTGAAGACTGGTTTGCATTGCGGGTAGGGACGTCTCTATGTGTCGAATGAAGCAATCGGTTTCTTCTTCCATCTCTCTGTCTTGCCGCTGTGGAAGCCCTCTTCTTGACAACGGGTCAGCTGCTTGGAGTTCCTTGCCCGGAACGTGGACAACTGCGAATGAGTAGCGCATTAGACGCATGCGCAGTCTCTGAAGACATGGGGTTAGGTCGTCCAATAACTTTGATCCGAACAGAGAAATGAGAGGTTTGTGGTCAGTTTCCAGTACAAAGTGCGTTCCCACGATGTAATCTCAGAATTTTTCGCATGCCCACGTGCGTGCCAAACTTTCTTTTTCGATTTGGGCATACCTCTTCTCTGTTTCGGTCAGTGTCCTGGACGCATAAGCAGTGACGCGATACGATTCATCCTCCTGCTCTTGACGCTGCACTGCTCCCAGGCCGTAGGATGACGCATCTGCCAATACAATCAATCGTTTGTTGGCATTGTAAATTCCGGTAACGGGGCAGGTTGAGAGGATTTCCTTCCACTAAGATATTGAGGTGGGCTAGCTGGATATTCATGATATAAAAATTAAATAGCGCAAAGGTTAGACAAAGGACAGAACATGTAGACAGGACAAGCGCCTGTCCTGCCTACATGTTCTGTTTTATGTCCTTTGTCTAACCTTTGCGCTATTTAATCCTCATTTCCTTCCACCTTGTGAAGGCTTTCTGCCGAGGATGATCCCACACAAAGTCCACTTTGGAACTGAGTAGTGACGATAATGGATGCAGTAGGTCAGACAGGTGTGGCATGAATCGTCCTAGGTATGTCACCATACCCATGATGCGCTCGAATTCTTGCTTTGAAGATGGTATGGGCATCTGTTGCACAGCGTTGACTATTGTCTCGTCTGGACGGACATCATCGCTGTCTACTTGATGACCTAGGAACTTGATACTTGTCATTCAAAAGACGCATTTATTGTCATTGGGCACGAGTCCTGCAGATGAGAGTTGCCTGAGGACTTCTCGCCGACGTTGCTCGTGCTGCTCGGGCGATGACGCGCATATCAAGACATCGTCCATGTGGCAAAGTACTCCTTCTGTTCCTTGAAGAAGTCGTGTAATAACCCTCTGGAAGTGTTCCGGAGCCGACGTGATTCCAATTGGTGGGTAATTAAAACAAAAACTTCCAAACGGAGTGATGAATGTCGTCAGGAGTCGTGACTTCTCTTCTAAAAGGAGCTGCCAGAACCTTGAATTCGAGTCCAGCTTTGAGAAGATTTTGGCTCCCGCTAGCCTTCCCAGCGTGTGCTCCACTGAAGGGATGGGGCGATATTTGCATTGAATGTGCTTGTTTAGTTGGATGAGATCAACACAAATGTGAATTTTGCCAGACGGTTTGGGGACGATGACCATCGGTGTGCACCATTCAGTAGGTTCTTTTACTGGAGAGATGACAACTTGCGACTGCATGTTTTCTAGTTCTTTCTCCGTTTTACGATACAGCGAAAGCGGTACTCTTCTCGGTGATACGATAGCAAACGGCGTCACGTTAGGTTTCAGCTTGAGAACGTGAGCACCTTCGAGAGCTCTCAGTCCTTGAAACAGGTGAGAGAACTCTTTCTTCGATTCGCAAGCTTTGTTTGCAGTCATGCAGATTTGAGGGCCAAGCCGATACTTTGCGATAGCTAGCCTACCCAAGAGAGGTTTGCAAAGTCCTTTCACAATGTAAATTTCTTTGAGTGCTTGTTGCCCACGGCAGTTGAGCTTCATCCAAGCTGATCCCATGACTTTGAGGGGTCGTCCGTCTGGACCATGAAGTCGGCGTTGGGGCTCGGAGAGCTTGTGGCACTTTGCAAAGACCTTTTGAAAGATGGCAGCTGGTAACACCGTTTCGTCTGCTCTAGTGTCTATTAGGAAAACAACAGGAGTTTTGTCGACAAATATGTAAATGTCCCATTTTGCTGTTTGAGGAAAAGCTACAGCTCCTACGAATCCTTGTTCGTGTACGAGGGAGTTCACAGTAGTTGAAGATTTGCAGACAGTAGCAAAATAACCCTTTTTCTTACACCTGTTGCAGCCTGCGTTCCTCGCCGGACACACGCTCCTCGGGTGAGCTTCTTGACCACACCAATGGCAAGGTTTTCCTCTCGGTTTGGGTATTGCGGTCTTCTTAGTAGGAGTTCGAACATTTGAACGTTTAGCTCCTCGCTGAGCAGGTCCTGATGCTCTCTCATTTTTGGCTGCTATACGATCAACGTTGGCATCCTTTTCTTTTGTTGGCTGGGGTTCCACTTGTTGCTTCTTAATCACTTCCAATTGTAGCGCAGCAGCGATGCCTTCTGCAGGTCCAGAACATGATCCAGTTGAAGTTTTTCCGAACTCCTGCCGTCCCGAAGACCAACAATCAGCCTGTCGCGGATCAATTCTTCTTCAGTGGTCCATAGTTGCACGTAGTGGCTAGTCCATGAAGAGCAGTGACGTACTCCTTGACAGTTTCCGTCTCCAGTCGACGGGGAATGAAGTAACGTTCGAAGTTCTCTATTATCTTGTCGAAGTCTTGAGCTTCGGTGTCGGACAGCTTGAAGGTCTGTAGACGTCTTCAGCTTGTGGTCCCACGACGTTAAATGAGAGCGTCGACCTGGTGTGATGATGGTTGAGATGCCAGGCCTGATGCACTGTGGAAGCGCTTGAATCTTTTCTTCCATGCCGGCCATTTGTTAGGTGTTGTAAAACTGAAGGCTTCGGGTGGCGAGATGCGAAAAGTTGCCATTACCGATTGTTGCGTAGCACCGATGTCGGCAAAAGTTGAGGGCTTGTTAACTGTTCCTTCGTTTGTAGTCAGTCCTGCGCTTTACTAATTATTAGTAGACTCGCGGAGCAATCTCACTTTGGCAAAGAGAACACACAAACAACCTTTTGTGGCGGAGTGAGGCTGAAGACTGAGGCCTTATTTATT